AAAAAAAAAAAAAAGGCTGATTGTGCGGACCTCGGCATCGAGAGGGTTTTTGGCGTAGGTAGCTTCAGCTTTTTTGAGTGCGTCCTCGAATAAACTGCGTTGATCGTAATCAATGGACATGTCCATGGTTTGTGGCGACGGATGCAATTTTCCCCTTGGCCTTCTTGATCAATTAGGGCTTTTCCGAGTTCTGTGTGGATTGAGCGACACGTCCGTTTCTCTGTTGGCGAGGTTGTGCAGTACGCGCGGGATGATACACCGGGTGTGGTTAGGGATCTAAATGGGTCGGGCCGGGTACGGGTTTTGACATGCCCGTACCCGTACCCGGTCCGCTACCCGATTACCCATCAGCGGGTTGGGTTTTACTCGTCGGGTAATCGGGTTGCCCAAATTAGTATTGTTTGTCAAATTAGTTCGGGTTTTTTACCCGTTTACCCGAATCTTACCCGATTACCCTACCCCCGACCCGCCCGACCTGCCCATATATCTCACTATATATTGTATATATTCTATGCGTTGTAATTATTTTATTTAATTTATTTCTAAATTTCTATGCATATTCTTTTATTTAATTTATTTTAAATAAAGATGTATTTAGTGAGTTTGATTATAGGAAAAATAAATTATTAAATAAAATAGAATTTAATATTAGACGACCATTTCTATGTAATAGAGTAAGTGAACATAAGTAATTTTATTTTTATATTGTTTAATATGTAAAACATATAAAGTTAAAAGTTGCAATCTATATACCAAACTATTTGTACGTTTTTTTTAAATTTATTTTTGTTGATTTAAGAATTATTTTCTTACCAAATATTTAAAATTCTTAACTATATCTTAAAGATAAGGGACACACAAATTTTAAGCTAGAGAGATCATGATACGTAAAATAATATTACTTAAGAAGTATTGGTAAATTAAATAAACAAATTATGGGCATATATAATTGGTAAATTCAATATATAGTATTGTACTTTCTATTCATAATTATATTGCAATGTATAATAAATTATAAAAAATAATTATAAAACATAAGACTGAAATTAATTTTTGTGTTTGTTAAAAAATATGTAATAAAATGTACTTTTAAATTCAAATTGACTATATAATATTTATTTGAAATGATATAACGAGAGATATCTAACAATTGGTAAAAAAAGAAACAGATGTACAAATCTAACACATAACTTATATGTGATGAAGTAAGCTATTAGTTAAAACCAACCGTCACTAGTTCTCTCGTATGGGAGGTTTCTTCTCTCTTTGGGAAGTCTAGTTCTCTACTAGTAAGAGGTCCTTTCTCTTGCAATCCGTTAGCTTAGGAGGCGCAGAAGTGTGGGAGGGTGTTGTGCGAGTTTGTGTGGGGAATTGGAGGGAGGGTGCGATTTGGGGGTTTGGGTCTTTTTAGGGCAGGTCAACTATTGGGGCTTTCTTGTATCGTGGTCGAGGTTGTAGCTTTGGTGTGTGATGGAGAAGGGTGAGGGGAATAAATCTAACCAGGAGGAGTTGGAGCAACAATTGGAGAAATTTTCCCTTTCTGAGAAGGAGAATCTTCTGATAGACATTGAAGACCATGATGTTCGTATCAGCTCTGACGAATGTAGCAGAAGCCTGTTCAGAAAAATTGTGGGAGATAGAAGAGCTAATTGGATTGGTATCAAACGAGTCATGAGTAGCATTTGGAGGATTGGCAGCAGACTTGAGGTAAGGGAATTGAGCCCTAACTTCTTTCAATTCATCTTCTCCTCGAGGAAGGATTTAGAAAAAGTGGATTTGCGGAAGAACTGGATTTTAGATAATCAATACCTAGTAGTTAAAGAATGGAAAAGAGGGATCCACTGCAACCACCCGATCTTTGATAAGATCAATCTATGGGTACAAATTCATAATGTGCCTATGGATTGGCTCAGTGCAGATGTGGACTTGAAAGTGGGAAGAGTCTTCAACAATGTTCAGAATGTGAATATTACCAAAGTGGGTGGTGATTGGGTAAGAGCCATTAGACTGTTAGCCACTGTCAACCTTCAGGAACCTCTTCCTAGATGGGCTAAGATTCGGCTGGGAGGTCAGACTGTAGCAGTAAGTTTCAAATATGAAAGATTGGTCAACGCTTGCTTTTATTGTGGCCAAATCGGCCATTTGGATAGGGGGTGTGCTAAGAAGGTGGATGGCATTGCTAATAATAGATTCAGAGAGGGGGAATATGGGGAGTGGATCAAAGCAGAGGATGTGGTATTGTGGTCGAATTCATCTGGGCAGAGCAGTCAGTCTGCACAAGATAATCCACAGCAGCATCACAGTGGATCAACTGAAGGAATTCAAGATAATGGAAGAGAGGAAGAGATGGTGGCCAAAGTAAATAATAGTGGAGAGATGGTAGATGTTCAAGACCAAAGTCTTTGTCTAGTGGCGTCATCAGAATATGTCAGGCAAGATGTGAATAATTCGGACCAAATAGAAGAGCCACCTCTGAATGAGAATATAATTGGAGAAGTAGATACCACTGAGAAGGTTCATGAGAAGGCCAGCTATAGGTATGGAGTTGGAGCTTAGCGCTATAGGGAAAGAGGTGGTGAAAGCAGTCCAATCAGTTACCAGAAAGAACAGTACCTAGAAAAGGGTAGTGAAGAAAGAAGGCAGACTAGTGAGGCAGCAGGAGAAGAATGTCATTTCTGAGAACTTGGCTGGAATTAAGAGAATTAGAATGGGGGACCTGGAGGAGCAAGAAGGAGGACAGAGTGAGAAGAAGATGAACAAGGAAAGAAAAAATTCAAAGACTTTTGATATAAGGGTGGAGGCAGCCAGCCAAAAATGGCTCCCAAGTGAACCATGGGAGCCATGGTGTGGAACTGTAGAGGTTTGGGAGGACCCTCTATAGTTCCCCAAATTCGAGAGGCAATTGCTACTCACCACCCACTATTTTTTTTCTTGTCTGAAGTTCAAAAACATATTTCCTTTTCGCTTTCTGTTTGTCAAAAATTGGGATATGGAGGCAGATGTATTGTGGTGGAACCTTTTGGGACCAGGGGAGGTTTAATCTTGATGTGGTCAGCTGAGGCTATTATTTGTCAAATCAAACAATGTGATTTTAATTTACATGTGGAATTTAAGAGGGAACAGGGTCAGGAGTCAGAATGGATAGTGTTTGTATACATGAACTCTGACAAATATCAAAGGCAAAGCCAGTGGCAGTTATTAGAAGAAGATAAAATAGGATGGGAGCAGAAATGGTGTATAGTGGGAGACTGGAATGATATTGGGAGTAGAGAGGAGAAGAAATGAAGAAGAGAGAGATCTGATAGGAGTTTCCTGGAATTCAACAACTTTATTGCAAGAATGGGCATGTTTGAGGTCAAGATGCAGGGATAGCAGTACACTTGGGCCAATAACAGGGAGGAGAAGGGCTTTGTTGAGGAAAAATTGGATAAGGATTATGGATCTCTGATATGGATAGTTGATCATCCAGGAGCTAAAGTTCTGAACATTCATAAATCAGCATCTGATCATGGCATGCTTATTTTGGAATCAGGGAGCCAAAAGACAGTGGGGGGAAGAAGATTTTCATTTGACAAAAGGTGAACCAAAATGGAGGGATGTAAGGAAGTGATTGAAAAGGCATGGATCTGAAATCAGTCAGGCACTCCAATGTTTATTTTGAAGGAGAGCATCAAGCACACTAGGCTGGCCCTAAATCAATGGAGTAAGCTATTCAGATCACAGAGTAAAGATAAGATTAAAAAGCTCTCCCTTCAGCTGGAAGATATGAGAGAGCTTGGAGAAGGGAATAATTGGCATGAGTGGGAAGCTATTAAAAGGGAGTTGGAAGAAGCCCAATGCTCTGAAGAATAATATTGGCTTCATAAATCCAGACTGCAGTGGCTAAAGGAAGGTGACAAGAATACAAGATTCTTTCATGCCTTCACTGTGCAAAGGAGGAAAAGGAATGCAATAACAAGGCTGGTAGAGGGTGATGTTGTGCTGGAGGATGAGTCCTCAATTGGTAAGCATGTGGTTGACTTCTATAATTCTTTATTCTCCTCAGAAGGGTCTGTGGGAGGGGCAGAGGTGCTTCAACATATCCCTACTAACATTACTCCTGAACTGAATGAAGAGCTCACAGCTGATGTGGAAGAGGAAGAGATACAGAGAATTCTGTTCCAGACGAACCCTCTCAAAGCTCCTGGGTAAGAGGGCTTCACTGCCTTATTTTACCAACACTACTGGCCCATTATCAAGCAGAAAGTGTGCACAGCCATCCAGAGCTTCTTTGAATCAGGGCAATTGCTTCAATACTGGAACCATACTCTGGTATGCCTCATTCCCAAATGTTTAAACCCAGTTTCTCTGAATCATTATAGGCCTATCAGCCTATGTTCTGTAGTTTATAAAATTATAGCAAAAGTGCTGGCCTCTAGGCTTAAAAGCTGTTAGGGAATTTGTATTAGCGCTGCTCAGTCAGCCTTCATTCCTGGGAGGCAACTCCTAGACAATGTAATAATAGCTCATGAGTCCTTTCATTTCCTTAACCGTCATAGATCTGGTAAGCACTGCTTCATGGCTCTAAAATTTGATATGATGAAGGCATATGACAGAGTGGAATGGGCTGATTTGAACAGTACAATGGCTAAAATGGGTTTTGATTTGAAATTCAAAAAATGGGTTATGGCCTGTGTTACCTCATCCACTTTCGTCTTTCTGTTGAATGGCAGAGCCACCGGCTTTGTGAAGGCTCAAAGGGGGGCTAAGACAAGGGGACCCCTTGTCCCCTTATCTGTTCCTAATCATTTCTGAGGTTCTGTCTTCTATGATCAAAGTGACTGCTGACAATGGCTCTTTCAGAGAAATCAGACTTGTGAGAGGTGGGCCTACCTTGACCCATCTGTTGTTTGCAGATGACTTAATGGTCTTTTGCAAAGCTGAGCAGAGCCAAGCTGTGTTGTTGAGAAGAATGCTGGAAGATTATATGGCTTTCTCGGGGTAGAAGGTCAACCTCTCAAAGTCTTCTGTTTTTTTCAGTAGGAACACTGGGGATAATGTAAAGCAGGACATTTGGCATCTGCTAAATGGGGTTCAAGTGCACAGCTCTACAAGGTACCTGGGACTACCTTTGGCGATTGGTAAGT